CCCCCCCCCCCTCCTCCCCAACTCTCCCCCCCCCCCTTACATGACATTGTAATGTTACATCACTTTATTTTCTCATCCATCCACCATCAATCTTCCTATCTCATTTACATTGTTCCAATCTTTTGTTTGCCCTCCAACATTCTTCCCATCCTGTTTAATACCCGCCTCTCTCTCACATCTATTCCAGTTCCCTTTCAATCAGCTCTTCCGTCATCTTCCCAATATCAACATCAAATATGCCTATCATTCTCTCTCCTTTGTCCCATATCTCATTCCTTCACTCGGTTAATTCCCTTATAAAGATATTCCCATCACATTGTCTCTTACGGAATACCTCAACTCTCCCTTTCTCTTCTCTGTTGGTACCTCCCTCTCTCAGTCTGTTGTTGTTGTTGTTGTTATAGATTCAGCTACTCAGAACAAGTTGCAAGTAGCACGGGCTATGGTGAGCCCGTAGCTTACCTGGCACAGGAGTGGGGCAGGTAGCACGGGCTATGGTGAGCCCGTAGCTTACCTGGCACAGGAGTGGGGCAGGTAGCACGGGCTATGGTGAGCCCGTAGCTTACCTGGCACAGGAGTGGGGCAGGTAGCACGGGCTATGGTGAGCCCGTAGCTTACCTGGCACAGGAGTGGGGCAGGTAGCACGGGCTATGGTGAGCCCGTAGCTTACCTGGCACAGGAGTGGGGCAGGTAGCACGGGCTATGGTGAGCCCGTAGCTTACCTGGCACAGGAGTGGGGCAGGTAGCACGGGCTATGGTGAGCCCGTAGCTTACCTGGCACAGGAGCGGGGCAGGTAGCACGGGCTATGGTGAGCCCGTAGTGGACTTACCTGGCACAGGAGCGGTGCTGTGTGTCCTGATCTCGGTCTGTTGTTGTTGTTTCAGATTTAGCTACTCAAGACGAAGTGTCCATGTAGCACGGGCTATGGTGAGCCCGTAAGATCTCGGTCTGCTCTCTCCCTCATATTATCCCCTCATCTCTTACTCATTCACCTCACATCTCACCCCTTTGAACCGCATTATGCTTTCATCTTTAGTTCACGCTCTTCTTCTCCCCCCCCCTCCCCCTTTCCCCAGCACCAATAGGCCTATTCACAAAGTTTCCGGTATCGGCAACCCATCAACATACACGAATATTAAATGCTGCTCTTGCAACCCGAACCATTACCCACCTTCAAAAATGCCCATATGAGATTAATTCCTAAGCCAGGTAAACCAGTAAAACCAATGAGGAAAATTACAGACTTGTTTACAATTTACATAAAAATTACAAATTACAGAAATTTACAGACTCGTGATACCAGGTAAAATATTCGTAAGAATCAAGAGCTACTTTGGCAACAGAACTTGAAAGTGGAGTACCACAGGGAAGGTGCCTATCACCCATTCTTTTCAACCTACTTTGTTAGTCTCCCTCCTCCTCCTCCTCCCCAACATGGGGGGTGGGGTGGGGGGGGGGGATACATCACTTACGCAGATGCCGTCACTCAAATAATCTGCCAAACTGCTATCATAACTCACTCTATATTAAACATTTCCCTAAACTTTTTCCTTTACCTGAACCTCTCCATCTTTTTACTCTCCCCTCCCTCCCCCCCCCCCTCCTCTCACCCCCCCCCCCTCCTTCCTACCCCCCCCTCTCTCACCCCCACCCCCACCCCCCCTTCCTCATATTTCAGATCCAGGCGAGCCTTTTCACGAGTAATTGAGTGAAACATTTTAAGGAGACAACATTCCTTGGTTATACGAGGCGAGGATGTTGGCGCCGGACCCGATAATCCTATCTCCGATATACCGCATACCCTTCGCGGGGATATATATATATACCACATATCCACTGTATACCGCACTGATATATACCACATACCCTCAGTGTACGGCAGCGATATACCACACTCTCCGTATACCGCAGTGACATACCACATAACCAACGTATATCACAATAATCCGCCACAGAAACAGCATTAATTCAACGGGGGGGGGGATATCGATCGAGCGGGAGTCACCAGCGATAGCCAGCGATAGCCAGCCTCCACCCCCCACCCCCCTGCCTCAACCACCCCCTCCCACCCTCCACCCCGACCCAGCATTTCTCGCGATTTTCAACGACGTTTTACGCAATAATAAAGAAATAAACAGTTTCGACGGCTGGGAATCGGGTAAGAAAAGTCTTGGCGGGCTGAAGCAGAGGAATTTTGTGACACTTACGGTAGCTAGCAGACGAAGTGGATTTAATATAGGAGAGAGAGGGGGGGGGGTAAAATGTCGGGTTGGTGCCCCAGTGAAGAATGGCGCCAAGTAGCGGCAGTGCCGTAAGGTCCACCGCGGCGGTGTTCCAATCTTGGGCGTACGACCGTGCGGGGGCAACCTCGCTTCGCACTCTCTTGCCCCCCCTCCGCCCCCCACCCCCGGGAGCTTCATATGTGAGTTTGGAAATGTTTCATCTCGAGGAGTCGCGCGTCATTCACGCCGTCTAAGGTACAGAGCTCCTCCTCCTCTGCTTGTCCTCTTCCTCCTCCTCTGCTTATCCTCCTCCTCCTCCTCTGTGTTATCGTGATGTTGCAACATGATAGAGGCGTCGTGTGTTGCAACAGGATAGAGGCGTCGTGTGTTGCAACAGGATCACAGGAGGAGACTACAGAGGTCGCTGCTACAAGTGACCACAGGAGGAGACTACAGAGGTCGCTGCTACAAGTGACCACAGGAGACTACAGAGGTCGCTGCTACAAGTGACCACAGGAGACTACAGAGGTCGCTGCTACAAGTGATCACAGGAGGAGACTACAGAGGTCGCTGCTACAAGTGATCACAGGAGACTACAGAGGTCGCTGCTACAAGTGATCACAGGAGGAGACTACAGAGGTCGCTGCTACAAGTGATCACAGGAGGAGACTACAGAGATCGCTGCTACAAGTGATCACAGGAGGAGACTACAGAGGTCGCTGCTACAAGTGACCACAGGAGACTACAGAGGTCGCTGCTACAAGTGATCACAGGAGGAGACTACAGAGGTCGCTGCTACAAGTGATCACAGGAGGAGACTACAGAGATCGCTGCTACAAGTGATCACAGGAGGAGACTACAGAGGTCGCTGCTACAAGTGATCACAGGAGACTACAGAGGTCGCTGCTACAAGTGATCACAGGAGGAGACTACAGAGGTCGCTGCAACAAGTGATCACAGGAGGAGACTACAGAGGTCGCTGCTACAAGTGATCACAGGAGGAGACTACAGAGGTCGCTGCAACAAGTGACCACAGGAGGAGACTACAGAGGTCGCTGCTACAAGTGATCACAGGAGGAGACTACAGAGATCGCTGCTACAAGTGATCACAGGAGGAGACTACAGAGGTCGCTGCTACAAGTGACCACAGGAGACTACAGAGGTCGCTGCTACAAGTGATCACAGGAGGAGACTACAGAGGTCGCTGCTACAAGTGACCACAGGAGGAGACTACAGAGGTCGCTGCTACAAGTGATCACAGGAGGAGACTACAGAGGTCGCTGCTACAAGTGACCACAGGAGGAGACTACAGAGGTCGCTGCTACAAGTGACCACAGGAGGAGAGTGCAGAGGTCGCTGCTACAAGTGATCACAGGAGGAGCGTACAGAGGTCGCTGCTACAAGTGATCACAGGAGGAGCGTACAGAGGTCGCTGCAACAAGTGATCACAGGAGGAGACTACAGAGGTCGCTGCTACAAGTGATCACAGGAGGAGCGTACAGAGGTCGCTGCAACAAGTGATCACAGGAGGAGACTACAGAGGTCGCTGCTACAAGTGATCACAGGAGGAGACTACAGAGGTCGCTGCTACAAGTGACCACAGGAGGAGACTACAGAGGTCGCTGCTACAAGTGACCACAGGAGGAGCGTACAGAGGTCGCTGCTACAAGTGATCACAGGAGGAGACTACAGAGGTCGCTGCTACAAGTGATCACAGGAGGAGACTACAGAGGTCGCTGCTACAAGTGACCACAGGAGGAGACTACAGAGGTCGCTGCTACAAGTGATCACAGGAGGAGCGTACAGAGGTCGCTGCTACAAGTGATCACAGGAGGAGACTACAGAGGTCGCTGCTACAAGTGACCACAGGAGGAGACTACAGAGGTCGCTGCTACAAGTGATCACAGGAGGAGACTACAGAGGTCGCTGCTACAAGTGACCACAGGAGGAGACTACAGAGGTCGCTGCTACAAGTGATCACAGGAGGAGACTACAGAGGTCGCTGCTACAAGTGACCACAGGAGACTACAGAGGTCGCTGCTACAAGTGACCACAGGAGGAGAGTATAGAGGTCGCTGCTACAAGTGATCACAGGAGGAGACTACAGAGGTCGCTGCTACAAGTGATCACAGGAGGAGACTACAGAGGTCGCTGCTACAAGTGATCACAGGAGGAGACTACAGAGGTCGCTGCAACAAGTGATCACAAGTTGCATTTTTTATTTACGGAGTGTTAAATGTATCGTGACTTACGGTCTTGGAACCACAAATGCTGTCGAGATTTTAAATATTTTGAATTTAGAGAAAAATGTTGATCATATTGACTTCAATGCCTTCGGAAGATTAAGAAGAGGATCCTTACAGCATGATTAGTCTCATAGTATAAGTTTTGGCGATAAAGCTGCGATCATTATCAGTAGAGATAACTACGCCAGTATACCTATATGAAAGGGATAGGAGGATAGAGGGTCACAAGAATATACCTAACCTATCCCAAGGATATACACACCCACCCTAAAAGTATATTCACCCACCCAAGAGCGCTGACGAAATATACCTACAGGAGAGCCCCCTTTTAGAAACAACTGCGGCTCTTAAGAGTGGCATGGGAGAGACTCGAGGATATACCCCACCCTCCCCTAGGGAGTATATCCTCCCCTAGGGAGTATACCCTCCCCTAGGGAGTATACTCACCCAGCCGACCTCTTAACTAAGGTGGTGCCCCCCAGTCCCCTCCTGTGCTGCCTACAGGACACCTCTAATGTACTTCCTCTGCAGAACAAAGAGCACACACTCGTCATTACGACCTCTCTAGCGTCGACCCCTCCAGCGTCGACCTCTCTAGCGTCGACCCCTCCAGCGTCGACCTCCCTAGCGTCGACCCCTCCAGCGTCGACCCCCCTCCAGCGTCGACCCCCTCCAGCGTCGACCTCTCCAGCGTCGACCTCCTCCAGCGTCGACCTCCTCCAGCGTCGACCCTCTCCAGCGTCGACCCCTCCAGCGTCGACCCCCTCCAGCGTCGACCCCCTCCAGCGTCGACCTCTCCAGCGTCGACCTCTCCAGCGTCGACCCCCTCCAGCGTCGACCTCCTCCAGCGTCGACCCCCTCCAGCGTCGACCTCCTCCAGCGTCGACCTCCTCCAGCGTCGACCCCTCCAGCGTCGACCTCCTCCAGCGTCGACCTCTCCAGCGTCGACCCCTCCAGCGTCGACCTCCTCCAGCTTCGACCTCCTCCAGCGTCGACCCCTCTAGCGTCGACCCCTCTAGCGTCGACCTCCTCCAGCGTCGACCTCTCTAGCGTCGACCTCCTCCAGCGTCGACCTCCTCCAGCGTCGACCTCCTCCAGCGTCGACCTCCTCCAGCGTCGACGTCCTCCAGCGTCGACCCCCTCCAGCGTCGACTCCTCCACCCCATTTCATCTACCTATTTGATTCCCCCCCCCTCCCACCACTTTACCTTCGCTACCCAACTCCTGCATCACTTGGCCTTAAGGTAGATACATGACTAGGACCTTCTGGACCCAAGACAGGTGTAGGATGCAGGTGTGCTTTCAAGATACGCTGCCACATCATGCTAAGAAATGGGAGCAAACCCAAAGTTTCCTCAGCATTGATTGCAACGATATTTGTAAACATTGGGACTAAACACTGCTAGGCATACTTAGGACACCAGCTTAATTAGGAGCTCTTTATCTGTACTACAATTCAAGAGTCCTATTTCCCAAGCTCGGTCCAGGTTGTCTAGGGTGTAACGTGATCTGACAGGCTGTTGCTTGCAGCGGCCCGCAGGCCCACATACCTATTACAAGCCGGCTGGTCCGGCATTTCCAGCAGAAACTTCACCAATTGCCTATTAAAAGCCTCCACTTGTATTTCGTTAATGTTATGTATACTTGCTGGAAGGAGGTTGAAGGGTCGTAGGCTTCTGATATTCATACAGTTTAGCATACCTCAACCCAAGGGGGGGGGGGCGAACGTTAGTCAATAAGGGACATTCTTCGAGATAATGTTCAAGGGAAAGCATATTTTCTCTTTCACAAAGTTGACACATGGTGTATTCGACATCTGGGTTTTGAGAAGGCGTCCATATACGTCTATATGTAATGGATTATTTATACAATATATATAATGTAACTATAACCTGAGTTTGTGAAAGCATCTTAATTCACCTTCGCCTGACATACGTAAGTCTGTGTATTTATGTATGTAGGTTAGATTAGCATTTTAAAAGCACTACAATCACCTTCTGTGGTTGATTGTTCGATAAATCACAAAACTATATGTTGAACAGATCTCTCACCCTGTCCACGGAGGACAGAAGAAAATGTATATATGCTGGTTAGCATTGTAAATGTGTGGCCACGTCTGTGGTAGAAAAAAACAATTTATACATTGTCCTCCGCCTGTGCCTGTGGCGCCAACAAGTTGTTATATATTATGCATAGTGAGACCTGATTATAAGGAGGAATTGCCTGTTAGAGGAGTTTGCAATGAAAGGGCAATTTCATTGCTAACGAATGAAATGAATGAATGCATTCATTCATTCATTAAGTTAGTCTAGGGCAATTTCAACCTGCCATCCAAAAATGATCATACATACAGCAACAAGTGGTCGAATGTACAAAAACTGACTATTGTGCCCTGACTACTGTTATAGAGAGCACGAGAAAGAATGCAACAATCATACCTAAACTATCCTAAGCTTAGTTTTGCACATGTATTTACTCTATTAGGCCTAAAATAATGTTAGACCTAAGATTTATTTTTTAATTTTGGCCTAGAATAAGCTACTTTGCATCGTCACGGTTCCCCCCCCCCCCTTTTACCGTCCCGTTCGTAGTGTTCCAACATTAAAAACGTGAACTTTTTTGAGAGGGCACAACAGTCCCGGTTTAACCGTCTGACCAACAGTTGCAACAAGAACTATCATTCTGGAAGGGAGGCTTGACATCAACGGCTGGAAGAACAAATACTGCCACTAGCAGTACCGGTTTTGGACAACTGGTGTCATGTCAATAGCAACTCTGACATGCAGAGATGGAGAACAATCACCTAAGGTAGGAATGGAAGTAGTAGCAGATTGAGGAGACTGTCTTCACGACGCATAAGATTTTAAACAATTACAGGACTTGGCCACCACACCACAAGTTAGTCCATCTTCGGCTATCCAGAGAATCTATCGAAACTGATGCTGCTACAGTAGAAGATACAGAAGTCTGTGCCCTGTAGTTGCAACCGTTCGAACTGTTATTGTTCCAAGTAGATGACTTTAAAACAACAAATTAAATACAGGACTTGGCCAGTTCTCAAGATCTGTTACAAAATCCTTGGAACTAACCGAATCAGAAACCCATGTACCCAAGCCACCTACCTACCTAACCTAACCTAACCTAACCTAATCTAACTTAACCTAACCCAACTGATGCATAAAAAATATGGATTTTTATGAGCTGCAACGTTTCATAGCATGTTGCATTTGGTACGTTGGCTACCATAACATCGTACTATTTCAGAGGACGGGTTGACAGGACAGTGGTCTAGCCATGTGTTGGCAAGCTGTAAACCTGTTAACCGAGTTGAGACATTAGACAGGAAATGTTGGGAGAAACCTGGAGGGGGTATGGAAAAGGTATTCTGGAGAGGATATTGCAACAAAGGCGGACAGAAGCACACATTAAGCAACACACTACACACGTGGTACACACACATATTGGGAGAGCTGCATGACATGTTGTGAAAAGATTCAAATGATGTCATTGCAATCACAGAAACATGGATCCAAATACCTAATTAAGGAATATCCTTCGTTACACAACTCAATGGACAACTTATACGAGTTATGGGAATAGCAATATTTACAGAAAATTTCAAATGTATCAAACAAAAGGCATATATATAGAGAAACAATTCTGATTGAATTAAGGTAGTGATGGCTTGATATTGTGAGTTTTGATACATATATGTGCATATTACACATACATACATATATATATATTATATATATATATATATATATATATATATATATATATATATATATATATATATATATATATATATATATCCCTCACTGTGGGACAAAGCCGCCTCCCTCACTGTGAGACAAGAGCTGCCTCCCTCACTGTGGGACAAGAGCTGCCTCCCTCACTGTGAGACAAGAGCTGCCTCCCTCACTGTGGGACAAGAGCTGCCTCCCTCACTGTGGGACAAGAGCTGCCTCCCTCACTGTGAGACAAGAGCTGCCTCCCTCTCTGTGGACAAGAGCTGCCTCCCTCACTGTGGGACAAGAGCTGCCTCCCTCACTGTGGGACAAGAGCTGCCTCCCTCACTGTGAGACAAGAGCTGCCTCCCTCACTGTGGGACAAGAGCTGCCTCCCTCACTGTGAGACAAGAGCTGCCTCCCTCACTGTGAGACAAGAGCCGCCTCCCTCACTGTGGGACAAGAGCCGCCTCCCTCACTGTGAGACAAGAGCTGCCTCCCTCACTGTGAGACAAGAGCTGCCTCCCTCACTGTGAGACAAGAGCTGCCTCCCTCACTGTGAGACAAGAGCTGCCTCCCTCACTGTGAGACAAGAGCTGCCTCCCTCACTGTGGGACAAGAGCTGCCTCCCTCACTGTGAGACAAGAGCTCCCTCCCTCACTGTGAGACAAGAGATCCCTCCCTCACTGTGAGACAAGAGCTGCCTCCCTCACTGTGAGACAAGAGCTGCCTCCCTCACTGTGGGACAAGAGCTGCCTCCCTCACTGTGGGACAAGAGCTGCCTCCCTCACTGTGGGACAAGAGCTGCCTCCCTCACTGTGAGACAAGAGCTGCCTCCCTCACTGTGAGACAAGAGCTGCCTCCCTCACTGTGAGACAAGAGCTGCCTCCCTCACTGTGAGACAAGAGCTGCCTCCCTCACTGTGAGACAAGAGCTGCCTCCCTCACTGTGAGACAAGAGCTCCCTCCTCACCCTGCCCTCGTACTCACACTTCCAAGACACAACTCAACTTCTTGCTCCAACCATCAAACAATCAACTCTCATGCTGGAATAAAAATTTTCGTAACATTCTTCCTTTTTATCACCCCCAGAACCGAGGAACGAAGAGACCAACGAAGCGAGTATATACCGGTATAACTTACGAAACGACGGGTATATACAGTGTGACGATAATCTCCTTCAAGAGATTGAGCCTGCTCTTCCCTCCAAAATTACGTCTTCACAATTATATAAAAAGACTATGGAAGAAATGTCCAACAACGACAACAACACCAGCACCAGCAAGGCTTGCCAGGGTGAGCAGAAACGTATGCAACCAGCCACCTGTTCGAACTCCAACCACCAAACTACCCGTTGATCGCTACGGCTCCGCTGATTGGTCGCCGGTCTGGCTGCACCTGCCTCGCCCCCCAATACTACCTGATGTCTGGGTCGCCCCAACATCAGTCCTCAGAATGTTCCGTGCTTTCGTAGCCAGCACTCCTCCCAGCTAGACGTTAGCGTGTACTGAGAGAGGTGGTGGCTTTAAGCCAATATTCCAGCACCTCCCACTTAACTTTTGTGTTGCACTTCTTGTTATTTTGCCTTAACGTAACTTTTCATTTTGTCATTTAAGTATTCTTATTTTGATTCATTGATTTTATTATAAGAATTTGTTTGTGCATTATTTTCATGTTTTGATTTATTTAACGTAATTAAAATTTCATTGTTAAAGTTTTACTTGTGTTTTGTGTGTCTTCTCCTTACCTTACCACAGACGAAGTTCCAGTTTTTCTATTTTTTTTTATAACTATGTGACGAGGCCATACCCCTAGCCTTAAACAGCCGAACACCAACGCGTTACCGTCACAAGTTATATGGGGGCCTGTCCTAGGAGCTTAACTCAGGTACTGGTGCTAAGTGGTAATTTATGGTAAGCGTATTTAACTTTGTTAACGTAGCTTTACTATTTTTCATTCAATTTCATTTTTATAAGGTGCGGTGTATTGTGCATTACGAGAGTAACATATAGTGAAGGTGAGACAACTTTGGATTACGTGGTGACTGTAGCCGCAGTCATACTCTTAATTGGTCATCTCTCCCTCCTTGTTATTACTCGTATTTACCATCTATGTCCCTTGAATATTTCTCATTCTGACAGATCATCATATTGGTACCCTGGTACTGTGGTCTGCCCTGGGTCAAGAGTACCCAATCTTCTGCAATCTGACTGTAGGAGGACAAAGAGGGCCATAGTTCCTCTAGCTCGAACTTTAGTTGCTGAATTGGGACCT